CGTTTGGGGGGGGTCTACTGACAATGTCCGTACATCGTCAGTAGACCCCCCCCCCATACGCAAGCATACGCATTTGGGTTACCCCCCCTCCTCCATGAGTACGTACTAAATAGATGGCTCCTATATCTAATGCCAAAGATGTGAATGAAGGAGCATCCAAGCGGATATCATTGACAATTCACTCTCTCAACTTGTGTACATGCACTTAAACTGCAAGTAAACCCATGTCATCCCAAAACTAACACGCAGCCTCAACAATACGTCTCTGACTTAATGTGAACCCACAGTCTCAGTCTCAACACAAACCCACATCTCAATACTAAGATACAAATAAAGACTCCACACGAAACAAGAGCCTTAACTCCTTCACCCTGCATCCTCAACACTAAGCAAGGGCTTCAACATGAACCCACAACCTCTACACAAACCCAAATCCTCAGTACTAATCCACACTCTCGACACTAACCCAGAGACACAAAATGAACCGATATGATTTATATTTAACCATCCGGACCAGGAAGCTCTTTAATGCGAGAGCAGAGCTTTGTTAACACCTGGTGATACTGGTTTTATCTCCTTCTAAGCATCGTGCAAAATTGTCAAAAATGTTGCTTGCTGTGCAACGTTCCGGTCTGCTGCAAACCCAAATAAAAATGGCATATCTGCCCACGTGACAACTTGATTTGAGCGGCTCTGTAGAGTGGCTGAGGGTTTACAGTTGAAACATTGCCATATTCACATGCCCTAACCCAAAATAACCCAATTATGAATCAAGAGACACACAGCCTCAACTTACACCAACGGCTTTAACGTGAACCCAGAGCCCCAACACGAATCCACAAACCTCAACATGAACCCAAGCTCTCAACATGAACGGACAACCTCCACGTGGACCCGCAACCTCAACACAAACACCCGAGCCATGCTGGGGTCCCCATGCCTATATTTACAAGGTGAGAAGGACCCTGAGACCTCGCGACTCCGTCACTACATGATAGGAGGAGCTCCAAGTTATTCTATTGAACTTGGCACATGGAGGGGGGTTGGAGTTGAAAACCTTAACGGTGACACACAGTGCTTTAGTGAGGAGCTGTAATTTACTACGTGAATCGGTAGTTTGTTTTTATTAACAGAAGTAGATTAGAACTGTTTGTATTGCCTTAGATCAATATTGTTATGACAATGCACTAAAATAGCATCAACACGCGCCAGCAGTTCCACGGCTGGTGTAGGCCTCTAGCGAGAAGAACAGCCTCACCCGCAGCTTGTTAGAGCAGATACAAAACAAAATGAATTGCAACTTTAAAGGTGCATCACAAAAACCAAGCAAGGATACGAGTTTGTTTTTCTTCAGAAGTCCAATGCCGCGGCATCTCAAAGCTCCTTACAAAACACAAAACCAGGAAAATACGAAAGCCTCCGACACGCCATGAAGCCAAACACTCACTAATGGAATTCATGGCCAAACAGCCTCATTAATGCCGACCAGTTAGGCTTTCCTGGTTAAAAATGTGGAGTTCTGCATCATCATTATCATCATCATCTCGAGCAGGGCAATGCACCACGGTGGTGAGATGTTATCTTCCTCGCCTGGTATGCATGAGGTAAGGGGTTCGATCCCAAACCATGACGCCTGCTGTATATTTCGAGTTTGCATGCTCTCCCCGTGGTTGCGTGGATTTTTTTTTTATCTCCGGGTCCTCCGGGTTTTCCCTCCATATTTAGAAACATGCGTTTAGAGTATTTGGCTGCTATATATTTCCACATGACAGGCCACTTTGGTGAGCTATCATTTGTGGGCAGGTCGCTTCTGAAAAAGAGATAAGTGGGCTTTGCCTGGTAGGACGGGGATGGTTTAGCTTAAATTGTATGTGTTTGGGTGATTTGTTTAACGTTCTTGTCCTTTGCACAGCTATCATGTTTTTGTACCGTTTGTTGTTGCAACGTCCTTACCCGTCCCTATCGGATTCCTCCCGAATAAAAAAAATAATATTCTGATTCTGGTATTTAATGGTGCATGCAATGGCACGGAAGATCCCCCAATCATCATTCCTATCGCCACCACCATCCATCAATCGCTGTCATCATCACTCGTTGTAGCAGGAGATCCTGTACTCGAGTCTCTGACGAGGCGGGCGCATACCCATCGCCATCATCGGCAGTATTATTGAACAGTCCTCATCAGCACCATCACCGCTACCATCATCAACGGCACCAACAGTCACAGTACTGTAGAGTAGTTGCCGGATTCCATGAGGAGGTGGACAAGTCACCATCTGCACCACCATCATCACCACCACCATCATAGTCAGCGATGGTAGTTACCGGAGTCTATATTACCACTACAATCACCACCATCACCACCACCGATATAGGAGTTACCGCCATCTATGACTAGGTGGGCGAGTTCCCATCATTACAATAACCACCACCACTAACAACACTACCATCATCACCACCACCATCACCAGGAGTAGTACCACAGCACAGCAATAGTAAAGCAGTCCTCTAATAGGCGGGAGAGTCGCCACTATCATTACTGTCAAAACCATCACCAGTCGTAATTGCATCCAATAAAAGTAGTAGTGAAGGAAGTCCCAATCTTCACGACCATCATCATCACCATCACCACCATTACAGTAGTACATTAATCAGCGGGATCTATGAATATAGGTGGGCGAATTACAATCATTAACACCACCACCAGACTGTAGTAGTTACCCGGGTCTCGATCACCACTGCCATCACACCACCAGTAGCAGCAGTACGAGAGGCAGCGCGAGTGGTTAGTAGTTACCAGTCCCCATCATCACTAGCACCACCTTCACCAGTAGCAGTACTAGAGGCAGCACGAGTAGTAGTAGTTACCAGAGTCCCCACCACCACCATCACAGTACTAGACACAGCACGAGTAGTAGTAGTAGTTACCCGAGTCCACACCACCATCACAGTACTAGAGACGTCACGAGTAGTAGTAGTAGTTACCTGAGTCCCCACCAACATCATCACAGTACTAGACACAGCACGAGTAGTAGTAGTAGTTAGCTGAGTCCCCACCACCATCACAGTACTAGAGACGTCACGAGTAGTAGTAGTAGTTACCTGAGTCCACACCACCACCACCATCACAGTACTAGACACAGCACGAGTAGTAGTAGTAGTTACCTGAGTCCACACCACCATCACAGTACTAGAGACGTCACGAGTAGTAGTAGTAGTTTCCTGAGTCCCCACCACCACCATCACAGTACTAGAGACTTCACGAGTAGTAGTAGTAGTTACCTTAGTCCACACCACCACCATCACAGTACTAGAGACGTCACGAGTAGTAGTAGTTACCAGAGTCCCTACCACCACCACCATCACAGTACTAGAGACGTCACGAGTAGTAGTAGTAGTAGTTACCCGAGTCCACACCACCACCACCATCACAGTACTAGACACAGCACGAGTAGTAGTAGTTACCTGAGTCCCTACCACCACCACCATCACAGTACTAGACACAACACGAGTAGTAGTAGTAGTTAGCTGAGTCCACACCATCACCACCATCACAGTACTAGACACAGCACGAGTAGTAGTAGTAGTTCCCTGAGTCCCCACCACCACCATCACAGTACTAGACACAGCACGAGTAGTAGTAGTAGTTCCCTGAGTCCACACCACCATCATCACAGTACTAGACACATCACGAGTAGTAGTAGTAGTTACCTGAGTCCACACCACCACCACCATCACAATACTAGACACATCACGAGTAGTAGTAGTAGTTACCTGAGTCCCTACCACCACCATCACAGTACTAGAGACGTCACGAGTAGTAGTAGTAGTTCCCTGAGTCCACACCACCACCATCACAGTACTAGACACAGCACGAGTAGTAGTAGTAGTTACCTGAGTCCCCACCACCATCACAGTACTAGAGACGTCACGAGTAGTAGTAGTAGTTATCTGAGTCCCCACCACCACCATCACAGTACTAGAGACGTCACGAGTAGTAGTAGTTATCTGAGCCCCCACCACCACCATCACAGTACTAGAGACGTCACGAGTAGTAGTAGTAGTTACCTGAGTCCACACCACCACCACCATCACAGTACTAGAGACGTCACAAGTAGTAGTAATAGTTACCTGAGTCCCCACCATCATCACAGTACTAGAGACGTCACGAGTAGTAGTAGTAGTTACCTGAGTCCCCACCACCATCACAGTACTAGACACAGCACGAGTAGTAGTAGTAGTTATCTGAGTCCCCACCACCATCATCACAGTACTAGACACAGCACGAGTAGTAGTAGTTACCTGAGTCCCCACCACCACCATCACAGTACTAGACACATCACGAGTAGTAGTAGTAGTTACCTGAGTCCCCACCACCACCATCACAGTACTAGACACATCACGAGTAGTAGTAGTAGTTACCTGAGTCCCCACCACCATCACAGTACTAGACACAGCACGAGTAGTAGTAGTAGTTACCTGAGTCCCCACCACCACCACCATCACAGTACTAGACACAGCACGAGTAGTAGTAGTAGTTACCTGAGTCCCCACCACCACCACCACAATACTAGACACATCACGAGTAGTAGTAGTAGTTACCTGAGTCCCCACCACCACCACCACAGTACTAGACACATCACGAGTAGTAGTAGTTACCAGAGTCACCACCACCATCACAGTACTAGAGGCAGCACGAGTAGTAGTAGTTATCCGAGTCCCTACCACCACCATCACAGTACTAGACACATCACGAGTAGTAGTAATCTGAGTCCCTACCACCACCACCACAGTACTAGACACAGCACGAGTAGTAGTAGTAGTTACCCGAGTCCCCACCACCATCACAGTCCTAGACACATCACGAGTAGTTGTAGTAATCTGAGTCCCCACCACCACCATCACAGTACTAGACACAGCACGAGTAGTACTAGTAGTTACCCGAGTCCCCACCACCATCACAGTACTAGAGACGTCACGAGTAGTTGTAAGTTCCTTACCGGAGTCCTCTACGAGGCGGGCGAGTCCCCTCTTCTCGAGGAGCCCCGCGTGGCTGAGTCCGCGCGATTCGAGGAGGCCGCGCAGCTTCCTGAGGCTGAGCGCCACGGGGTCGACGAGGCGAGAGGCGAAGATGCCGGTCTCGCACCACGACACGGCCTCGAAGAATCGCGCCAGCAGGAACAGCACGCACACGTAGAGCAGCAGGAACAGCAGCTTGGCCCACATGCTGCCTATGGTAATGGACGTTGAGTGTTGGTGGTGATGGTGGCGGTGATAGTTGGCAATGGAGGTAAATGTGGTGGTGGTGACGATGACGGTGGTTGGTTGGTGGTGGTTATGATGAGTGCTGTAATAGTATGCCCGGGACGGGCAACAGCGGCGGCGTCGGCGGCGGCTGCTGCTGCCGTGTCAGTGACAGCAGCCTGGGGGCTTCTGTCAACAGCGGCTGATGCTGACGTGTGCAGCCCCCTACAGGAATCATTAATGAATGGAGGGAGATGGGAAATGGCTGTGATATTGGCGGCGCGTTTGATTCCAGCGCCGGTTTGAGGGCTCAGTAGGCGAGAGTTAAAATCGAGAAAGAAAATTAGGTGATGTTGGTGCGACGTGCCCCTATAGGGGATTTGTTTTGGTGTCTTTGGTTAATTAGTAAATGGCAGTGACGTCACGCGTGTTAAACGCCACACGTTGTGTAGGGGGGGAGGAGCCGGCCATGTGAGGTGGAGGGGGGGTTATTTAAGAATATATATTTTTTAAAATTCTGAATACGCTTTTCAACAGTATTAAAATACAAAGAGTACGTTGGTCATTAATTATAAATCGTTAAATTAACTACACATTACAATCATTCTCGATAACATTCCTTTTTAACGTAATAATGAAAAATGTTGCACACAAATAAACCCCTATTGTCTTAATGGTACAGTTCGCCCCTACGTCAGTTTAGCGTCACCAAAACATAAAAAAACCACCCTACAACAACCATTTAGAAACCCTAACACCGATACGCGACTCGAGCGATTCGAACCACCCCCATTGGGCCGCAGCCAACGGCGCGTGCAACGGCCTCGAGCCAATGGGAGGCGACCTCGCGACCGACCGGACCAATCGGCGAGGCGGCGGCGGCGACGGCTACGCGCACTCGCTGTGCGAAATACAAAGCGGTCGGCCACGACGAGACGGTGGTTGAAGTCGGGGTGAAGAAGAAGAAGAAGCACAACAACAGCGGCGGTGGCGGCCTCCGCGGCGTCTGTGGTGGCGGCGGCGGCGGCGGCGGCGGTGGTGGCGGTGGAGGAGAAGAACAACAACAACATGGAGCAGTGCGTGAACGTGGAGCGGGAGGTGGACCGCGTGCTGCAGAAGTTCTCCGCCTATGGCGAGCACTGCGAGAGAACCCTGGAGAACCTTGCGCAGTACGTGACGGGCATTCGCCAGGAGCTCGCGGGAAGTGAGTGGAGCTGTGTAGGCCTCGGACAAGGCCAAGCACCCCCCCCACCACCACCACCACACCGGCCTAGTACCGTTGCTGACACTTTGTTTGTGTCATGCGCGACCGCGGTTTTTGTGTAGTAATTGTTTTGTTTCACGTGCTGTGTGTGTGTGTGTTTTGATTTGTATCGTGATGGCTTGTGCAGACCCAGACTGGTAGTGTTGGATTAAGGCCTCTGCCCACGCCGTGCCAGTCATGGAGGCGGTTTGTTCGTCCACAATTACTTCAACCCGCACGCTGCTCCATGCGAGTTGGTGAAGTGGTTGTAAGGATGAGGGTACCAATAATGGCTCGGCTATCACGACTGTGTGGTGTACAGTCCTTGTTCAAATCAACTGCTGGATGAAGGCATCCCAAGCCGTGCGGGTCGTGGGCGGATGGGTTAATGTATCGCCGTGCTTTTGAAGGCCGTTACGGGTTGGTGAAAGCGAAGGGCATAGAGACGCACAGTACAACCCGTGGGGTTTTTGTTGTTGTTGTTGCACAGCCCTCTCTGCTACCCACCACGTGCATAATTTATAATGAAGTTTGAAGTTATGCTTGCTAGCAAAATGGGAATGTTGATGCTAATAATAGCGAGGATGCTACTAATAGCGTTGAGTGCGACTGTTCTCCGTCTTGCCCAACAGCGATTCGATTCAGGAGTGTATCATATTTTTGGCTCGTTTTGTATTGTTTGTGCTGTACATTCTTTTGTTTTTAGTCTACTTTCTACCCTTGTCCACTACCTTTGTACCCTATTGTTTTGTCGTTCTCGTCACTTCATTTTACTACCGGAACTTTCACGTCTATACACATCGTGTCTCGGTTGTTTTGGCTTATCTATCGTCTGTTGTCTGCTGGTCTACAAGCCTGTCTCGTCTTCACAGTCTGTATTGGCTGGGGTGTTTGTGTCGTCGTCTGTACCGTTTACTGTCCCTAATTTGCGCTGTCCTTAATTCTAGATTTGAAGTTTTCGTGACTGCAGGGATCCATACTCTTTGGTTCTTTCGGTAAAGTCACGTAGGTCACAAAATAAATTAAATCACGACGTTTCGGGCGCAACACAAGCGTCCGTCATCAGGTGGTACAACCACAGCAGGAAACAGCTGCTGAAGTGGGCAAATAGAGGGTTTGTGCTGTCTTGTTTGATTTAGTGCCTGCACTGTCCCATTTTTTCTGTACTGTACTCTCTTTGCTGTACTCTTGCTCATTCGTGTTGTCCGCGCTGTCTCGTTCATTTCCCACTGTCCCCATTTTCCTATCTCTCTCTTGTATACTATTGTTTAGACTTCCTGGCTTGTACGGTCTTGTGTGTCCAGTGTTTACCCTCACTCTACTGTGCCCGCCCTCTGAAGTGTCCGTGTGGTAGTACCACGTGGCACGCGAGAAGTAATCCCCCCCCCCCCCCCAACAAAACACGTGCGTGGAGTCTGTAATTCAATAACGCGTCTAATAAAAGCTGTTGATTCTTAAAGAAAGAGTCAACGCAGGAGAAACAACGTATTGTTGACACGCAGCTGGGGTGGGTGGGGGGTCCTGTCAATGTCTTGAGACGGTTATAAGCTTCCCTAATGAGAAGGATAAAACTAAATTGTCGTGCGGGATGCAATAACATAGAACTAGATTTAAATTATTGTACACACCTTTAGAATTACTGCGTCACCGCAATGCCATTAATGTGCTAGAATGTAGCACCAGAATCATGCCTGGGGTCAATTGTAAATGACTATTCTACAGCAGTGATCGCTGTTTCAAGGTGATGCCATCCCATGCGCAGTGTTTAAATGTCTATACAAATAATTTCAATCTCGTTTTTTTTCTCTGTAATGTGATAGCATCTCACGCTGTAGTCTTAAAGGGTGCTTTTTTTCCCCCTACTCATTAGCAAAGCTTCAATCCACGTCGAGACACACACCCCTGGTAGTGTACAGATCAAAAATGCCATTCCCCCCCCCCCCTCATGTTGACTTTATTTAATAAACAATGGCTTGTATTAGATATGTTACTGAATTACAAACCCCACGCGTGATTTTGTTGGGAAACTCTTTAATCAATAACACTGCCTTAAAAAGAAACATACATTTTGTGGCGTTTTGTGTGCCTTTGCCCTAAATTACTGTACGCCTAATTATGCATTTTTCTTTTAAGGCATTGTTATTAAACTCGGCACCACCGAATATTTTTTTTATTTCAAACGGGCTGTGTGCACTGAACATTCACTCTTAAAAGCGCACAGTAAGTGTAGGGATGTCAGTTTTGGCATTGTTAGCTCCAGGTGTTGAAACATAGGAGTCATGTATTATTTTTGTTGTCAAAAGCATGGGCATTTGTTGACTGAGCTTGTCATCGATCGCTAGTCAAACGCTGGATGTTGTGTGAAGCGATTGGTCACTGACCATGTGAATGTGGAATTAACAACCACAGGCTCAGGGCTGCCAGCTGAGATGGACACAGCCATAAGACTGTTCCTCAACGCTGAAACGACCAAAGTTATGTTATTATCTGGCTTACCCAAACCCATCTACCAATCTCTTCATTTTGTTGCTTTGGATTTGCTCCCTTTTGAGCAAGTTGACACATTTAAAGATCTAGACATTCTGGACTCGAAACTGTATTTTAAGATCCACATTGTCCACATGGCTAAACAATGACAACTAAATTGGATTCCTTTACAGAAACAAATGCTTATTCCACCTCAATTTTGGATGAATGGCACCATCCTGCCAATATTTGATTATTGAGACACCATCTACCACCTAGCTGCTAAATTTGCCTTAAAACGTCTCATTCTATTATACCATTAACCGAAAGAAGTTCAGCATACATACGTACATTAATTAAAATCTGTCCCCCCTGGATATACGGACCATCACTGTGCTAGCTTCACCCTTAAAGGTCCTCTTAAACAAATCCACCAGTTACCTAAAGGGCCACATATTTCCTCCAACTCCCTCCGGTAGCCTCAGAAGTGCCTACAAAAAAATAAATGTGCTAAAACTTTGATTATTTTATTTTATTTCCGTGTTGCTGCTCCACGTTTCTTGAATACTCGTGCCGCTCTTTCACAGCTTGGTTCCTTCCTTCCATATTAAAATAAAACAGAGCATACTTGCACCTGTACCTCACTTATTCTGGCGCCTCTTGCTCCCACATGTTCAATTTGCATGTGTTTGTCACTTAGACTAAAATATAGAGCTTACCTGCACCAGTCCCTAACTTTTCAATTTTACACTTGCACTGTTTTTGACTTTCATATCTTTCGTTTACGATAATTAAATATATTATTTAGTGTGCAGTATTCCTAAAGGACCCGATACTCATTCTCTGCAATCTTACTGTTTTTGTTTTGTTGTTGCTGTGCTCGCACATCATGGATCTCCCCTGTAACATAGCCGGGCAACTGGATAAACAGCGTCATCCATGTGTAGTGAGTCCAACTGAGTCGCAGACGTTATCTTGGGAGCAACACTATTCCGCAACTGAACACAACATTACACATTCTACACTCGGGTCTCGAATTCCCATCTAACCACGCTACGGCAGAAGTAGACACAGTTCGCTATCCCGGCCCGGACCGCGAGCTGGGTCCCGGACCGCGTGGCTAGAGGCTTCTTCTCCCCGACGTGGATCTTCGTAACACCGGCACACGAAGAACCTCGAGCTCCTCACGGGGCCCCCGTTATATGCCCCTCGGCTGGGGCTGGCTCCGCCCTTCACCCCGCCCACCTTCCAGATCTCTCGAGCTCTTTCTCGAAGGTTCCCGAGAGCTCTTTTATACCACGTGACCGCCCAGCGGCCCCCCCGTCCACCGGTGGCTCCCCTCCAATATCATCCGGTCACGTGTCAGCAGGTCAACCAGCGTATCATGCCCCAACGTAACCCTGGCTGGCTGACGCTCCCTCTCGTTCCCACACCGGGAGCCCACACCGCACGCTGCTCGCGCTGACCAGCGCTCACCCAAGCCCCGCTAGGGCTGATACTACACCCCGTAACCGGGCTGCACATAATGACAACACATTATCCGCTGTGGCTTCGTAAGCCCGGCACCACAGTGACAATTACAGTCACTACAAGTCACAATAGACATTGTGACTTGTTTGAGTTAGTGGAAAGTATATTTGCTCATTGCCAAATAAACAATCCAACGTCAGCCATAATTGTTCTTACCATACGAGTGACAGCTGTAGCTATGTAGGTTTTCTTACAATTT